CCCCTGCGGAATGTCTACTTGTCGGATCGTGAGGAGGGGAGTTAGGGGAACTGCTCCCGCATTCCCTCCCCAACCCCCCGGCTCCAGGGCTCTATTCCAAGAGTCCTTCGCCTTCTTGTACCGCACCCCCCTTCCCCTTTCGGGGAATTAGTGGGAGAGGTGCGGTCCCCGGCGGGTATCCCCGCCGGTTGGCCTTCTGGTGTCACCTTGGAAAAAGGGGACATCCACCCTTCCTCTTTATCCCCCTCTCTTCCTTAAGGGAGAGGGAGGGATTTTGGGGAGGTGGGCCCGACCCCAATCGGGTTCCCCACCTCCCCCTTTTCCCCCTATCCAATCATTCAGAGGAGCGGGAGTTGCCCTCCCCGCTCCCCTCTGAATGACGGAACCTGGCCCGAGGTGGCCGAGGGAGGCGCCGACCCGTGTAGGCCGGTGCCCTCTCCTCGTCTGATGCCACCTCGGGCCCGCTTCCGACTCCCCCTCCCCCGGGGGAGCGCCGGCCCCGCCGTCCTCTCCGACGGCGTTTGCCAGGCCGGCGCCTCCACTCGGCGGCCTCCTTCCGGGAGATTACCTCCCCGCAGAAGGAGGCCTGGAGTCCTAGCCCTAACACTCTCATAACAAAAATAAACTGACGATATATTTCGTAAGAATGCCCAATAAAAGGACTCGAAGAAATATATTTTGGGTTTCACATTCATCACACACCACTGCAATTTTAAAACCGAGACCGCGCGTGCTTGCAGTTTCAAATTTAACATTCCCTCTACAATTTTTACACTTTACTAGAAACGGAAATAGCAATAAATATTGATATAAAATTCAAAATTCTGTACTCGACGGTAACATCTTCTGGCATAATCAGTTCTTTTTGCGCCTTAAATTTTTTTGCTGACGTACTAAAAGATGTTTCATCCGACTCGGCCTTTTTTGGGTTAAAAACGTTCCTCCTTTTCTTCGGCCCTGATTTTTGGAAATTTTTCGAACTTCTTGCTTCTCTGGAAACTTTATGCGGTTCCATATTTGCTCAGAAAAGACGGAAAACACAAATAGAACAAGAACGAAAAATCAAGTACACAGCTCTGCTACTGGCAAGCGTTTCGATATTTCGTATATTCGTCTCTACCGTTACATTAGACGCTATAGAGCTACTTGACATTCGTCCAAACATATTTACTTCACGATTTTATAAACAGTTGAGCTATACAATACAAGACTCCTTGGTAAATAAAATAAGTGGGGATTCCCAGATAATCATAATAGAGGGGAAAGGCGGATGTTTCAATGGCTCTTCAAGCACTCGAAGGAGCGTGTACATAACAGCCTATATTTCGGCGAATTTTACTCGAATGAACTTGAAAGTTTTACAGAATATTCTTGAAATAATATATTTTCAGAAAAAAATATTTTTGAAAAATCGATATTTTTGACCTTACTGACTGTACATAACCCCTTAAAGCCCTGTTACAAATATATGGATGTCACATGTGTATCATTTAACTAAAACATTTAAATCAAACTTTAAATAATTATCTGAGTATTTTATGAATAATTAGACAAGTTTCGGATGACAAATATTAACTGATGCGTACCTAAGTCAAAAAATGGATCTTAGTATCTCACATATAAAATCGCTTCGCTCTCATACGCACTTAGCGCGTGTCTTTTTGTAATTGTAATTGATGACAGACAAACTGTCAAGACTCAATAATCATCATACTTTAGATGGTGTTTAGAATAGAAATTACATATGCAACAAGAAAGTATAAACAAGTGAATTCAAATATTCAATTTCTAACATCACAAGTCAAAATGTCTACATGAGGTTGTCAATTAATCATTGAAAACAGTGTTCCGATGTTGGAGAGGCTGCACGCGCATGCGCGACAATCTCTATTCGAAAGAGAGAGACCGAGACACTCTGTCTCTCTCTTTCGAATAGAGATTTATCGCGCATACGCGTGCAACCTCTCCAGTATATCGGAACACTGATCGAAAATATGATTACCACTTAAAAAAATATAATTTTTTTCTTTTATGTTCCGTTTTCTGTTGTATGTACAGGTTTCCTGTTGTATATATAGATCTTACTTTAAACACCATCGAAAATGCAATGATTATTAAGCTTCGTTAAAAAACGGAACATGAAAGAAAAAAATTGTATTTTGCTTAGATGGTAATCATATTTTCGATGGTATTTAAAATAGGATTTAATCAATCGAATAATATAAATTTTTTTTGCGGCGTTGACAACTTCCTATACACTCTGTCTTGTGATATTGCATTTAAGAGACAATATAAGACTGCAATAAGTTTTAGTTGTCTATGTTACAGCGTTATTTTAATCCCTTATGTTACAGAGTTCCCTATGTTAAGTTGTGCTTTCTTTTCTTTTTTGTTTTGACCATAAACATTTTTTTACGACATTAATTGACAACCTCTTGTAGATTTATTATTGCTTAAATTATCAGAGTGGTAACAAGTGGTTTTTACATTATTTAAATTATTAAAATAGTACTGAGTTGGTAACATTTAACCCAAGTTTTAAAAATCCTTTTCTTAACAATTCAATGTCGCTTACTTCGTGCACATGTATTCTACATGTTTCACAAGTAAACCACAAAATTTTTTATTAATAGTATAATATAATTAAAACTTGTGATTACCTTGTAAATGCACATAGAATACATGTGCACAAAGTAAGCGACATTAACCTGTCAAGAACAGGATCTTCAAAACTTGATAAAAATCTCGTCAATATCAACTCAATACTTCCTATAATACTTCTCAAATTATCAGAGTGATGACAAGTAGTTCTTACAGAATTAATAATAGTGATAGCAAGTTTTGAAGATCTTGTTCTTGACAGGTTGATATCGCTTACTTCATATATTTATATTCTACATGCATTTATAAAAGTAATAAAAGTTTTAATTATATTATACTATTTTTTTGTAGAATTTTTTTTGTGGAAGTTTTTGTAGAAATAGTAATGGTGATAGCAAGTTTTTCAATAAACAATGAATACACACTGCGTAGTACTATTACGTTAGAAGGATAAAAGTTTTCTTTTTTCAGCAGATATTTAGTACAGATATTAATTACTATCACGTCTTGATCATGAATGTTTATGAGTTGTCGTTTTCGAGTCAATGGATTAAACCAATTTACCCTGAGATCGACAAATTTGTGTGTGTGTGATATATGGGTGTGAAAGAGAAATAAGAGAGAAATGAATAAATTTAACCAACTGATTTACTTACGTTTAGGCTTTTTGGTTAGTGAATTTTAGGAGCGTTACGTATTGGTCAACGATTGACAAACAAATAAAAAGAAGAAAGGAGTCAGAGTGGATAGGTTCAATTATGTGACACTGGGCGAAATTGTATCTTAAAATAAACATTTATTTACCGGCTGAATACAACTGAGAGGCTTGTATATTGTATGAATTCAATGGCAACTAGTGTGAATGGCAATTAGAATTTACAACGAACAATTGATGCAAAGCATCAAAAAGAATTTCGTCAGGTATAAGAGTTTGAAGTGCCCAAATATTTTCCAAGTGTCACCCAAGTGCGCAAGAATAGTGTATCCTATTTAAAAACTAAAAGCTAAAGCCGCTGGTTGTCATCCGCGTTGTTCTTTTATATAAAGGTGGTGAGACACTCCCACGCGAGTTTTTATCACCTTAATAATAGTAGGAAAAATATGTTTCTCACGACATAAGAGTAATAATCAATAATCAATATCGTTTGAACAATTGTCTTCTGTCATTTCATTCTTCTGTTCTTTTATCAATTCATAATCATATTTCCGAACATAATTCTTTATCGATTGAATTTGAAAAGTTAAGTAAGTAAGTAAAAGTAAGTTAAGTAAGTAAGTAAAAGTAAGTTAAGTAAGTAAAAGTAAGTGGACGTAACACCTCCTTCCCCTTAAGTTATACGTGGTGAGTTAATTATGAAACCACGTATGAGCGCGATTAAAAGAATTAGAGTTAGTTTATATATGCTATTCGGAAATGTGTAAGCAATGACATAACGTCACGTTGTCACAACCTGCATTATTATAGTCGTCGAGTCGAGGCTGCGTGGCGGACGGCCTGGTTCCCGTTGGTTTCTTGCAGGCGAGCACGCCGTGCTCCCGCCGACGCCCCGCGCGTAGCCACTAGTGCCGTTCGCGGCCGCTACATGACGCGCTCACCGACTCCGCTGCTCGCAGCTAAGATTCGGCTGCCCGGGTGATATAACCGAGCGCGATAGCGAGCAGCGTGCCTTTGCATGGCCCAACGCCGATTGTGGCAATCCCTAGTGTCTGGTCTGTGCGACTTGTAGCGCCCTTTCTTATCGACCTACTTCTAGACTTCCTAGTGCAGTTTTAGCGTATAGTACAGATTCGAACCACCGCACTATACACTCAGCTGAGTTGACTGCGGTGCTGATATACCCTGCTGGGTTGAAGCTTTATGGTTAGAATCTACTGTGTTCAGCTGTGAGTTCTCTATGTTGCCACAATTCAGGAGCGAGCTTTGGTCGCCTCCATGGTGTAAGAATATAAAGTGAACCATTGCGCATAATGGCGGCTGAATGTAGCAAGAACCAATCAGAAATTTGCCCCAAAAGTAGCGCTGAGTTTAAACACAGTTTTGATGAAATGTTGAATAGTATTATAGATAAATGGAAATATATAAAATTATATATATGTATGTAATTATATATACATATGTAATAAAATTATAATGGGTGCGTTCGGGGAGCACGCTATTCGCACAATAAGTATCTAAGACCGTTCGAGGAGACGCTTTGTGGCGCTATAAAATTGATAATGACATCACTCTCAAAGCAGCGTGACGTCATTATTCGCGCAATTTTTCGCTATCATTTTCGAGGTAGGGCAACAAATGCTATTAGCGCTAATTGGCGCTTATTCTCTCCTCAAACGTTCGATTGTGCTTTAAAGTGTTAGTCTATGATCTGTTCTTTTAAAATGTGCAACCAGGCAACCAATTGCGTCAAAAGTCAAATAAAGACAATTTATTAAACTGTGAGAAACTGTATTCACAATGGCTCAACCACTTAGTCAAATATCTGAAAATGTCGAAATTCATCTTTTAGATGAAAACGACGTGACATACACAATAAAAGTATCGCCAAATGATGCAGCGCGTGCAGAAAATGGTAATTATGATGACAGAGGTTATATAAGTATTCTATATGCTAATAATTATCCAAGTATAGAAGATAGATCAGTTGATATAATGGAAATTAATAAATTAGATTAAAATAAAAGAATGTGATCGATTTATGTCTCCTTTAATATATAGATATTATTCGTTATTCTTTTAGATACGATATTTGCTACTTATCTTCTAAAAAGAGCAAAATCACAAGATTCAGATTTTGATGCAGCAAGTCTTTCAATGGAGTCTTCCAATTCTGAGGATAATAATGAATCAATGTTTAAATGGTCTCATGCGGCAATTCTATTGCTGGTAGAAAAGTATCGGCTGCAAGAAAATAACATTGTATCGGGTAAAATGTCCCAGAAAAAAGTATGGAATAATATTGCATCAGCATTATCTGTTAAAGGCTATAATGTCACTGGACCTCAATATCTTTCAAAATTTCACGGAATGACACGAACTTATAAATCTATAAAAGATCACAATAGCAAATCAGGGAATAATCTTAGAACATGGCCTTATATGGAAGTCATGGAATCTTTGCTTGGTGAACGACCTTTTATGTCGCCTCCAGCAATAGCCTCTTCAAGCAGTATGTGTTCTAATTCCAGATCTAATAGAGAATCTAACTTATCAAATGCAAATATATGTAACAATGCAAACTCAAGTAATAAAAATTTAGCTATTCAAATTCTCGGAAGCGCAAGGCACAAGAAAGTACATCAAACATTACTGAATCAATTTTACGAAGTCAGAAATTGGCTGAGAACAACAGTGATCAGAGGCACAAAGAAAACATGGACTTTAAAAAGCAAATGCTAGAATTCATGGGTAAAATTTTAGACAAATTATAAATGTTTTTATTTTAATTTACATGCAACAAAGATAAAACGAAGCTGTAGTACAAATTATAAGATTGTTTCCTTTGTTTTTGATAAAACATGTAGCATTTATTTTCTTGTTTACTTTTTAGTACAATTAATATTTTATTTAGTTTTGTAAAATATAGTATAGTAGCTGGTACATCTATTATACTGCGTTCTGTCTTCCTTAATATTTTAAACATATTCTTAAAATTTGCTTTATTTTTTAATATTAATAATTAATATTAAGTTTATACACATAAGTATTCACTAATGTCTTCCCATTGTATTTGAATTAGGTTAGGTTAGGTTAGGTTTTAGTATGGTTAGGTTAGGTTAGTTTAGGTTAGGTTAGGTTAGGTTAGGTTACCCCCAATAATTTGAATTATTTTGACGATTTTCAACTTTATGCCTATACATACATATTTTTATAATATAGTTAATTAGTTAGATAAAGTTGTTGTGTAAACATGGTCATAGACGCATGATATCCTCGGATAACCATTTTTTACGAGTATTATTCGGTGACATAATACTTTTTATCTGTCCTGGTGTACCTTTCACAACGTATTAACGACTATTTTATTTGCTTCTTTCCTTTTATCTATTTCCATTACCTGTATCATAGAAGCATTTTGCATAACACTTATCTGCAGTTGTTCTACTTGTGTGTTCAATTGTTCATTTTTCTTCTTGAGTTGTTTGTTCTCTTGTAAAAGTTTCTTATTTTCATTTTCAAAACATCGTAACTTTTGCAATAACGTCTCAGATACATCATAGTTTCCACTTTTTTGGTTTCTACAAAACGCAAAAATATATTATTTTCACGCATTATTTTACAAAATAATACTTTAGTATTACAACCAAACTCAGCATACGCACTAATTCTATTGTGTAAGTTTAAAATACAGTAAAAAGTACGTACTCATTTTCTCTTAGCACGTTGTTCAATGATATAAGAGAGTTCTGTTTATCAAAATTATCTTCTTCACTATATATATTTTCCTGGATACATTGTTCAATCTGTAGACAAGTGGGTAATTCGCTCATTTGCTGTTTAGATATTTCGGTGTTTAACCTGACAAATAATTACATTGTTAAATAATTAATAATAATAAAAGTATTACATTTAGCAATATTCATAATTTGATCTTAATATTTCAGAAACTATAAATAGCACTTAAAGTGGTATATAATGCATATAACACAATGACATAAAGAAAGACTGTACATACTACTGTTAACAATGGCAAAATACATACATTTTTCCTGTCATTACAGAAACATGATCACTATCTGACATTATTCCTTTTTTGTTTCTTCTTTTCCTGCTTTTATCCAATAGTAACATTTTTGTGGGAATAGAACCCTCCTTGAGTCGTTTCATTTGTTTCATACATGTTTTAGTAGATTTTGGCTATGTCCATCGCATTACAAAACAGTTATCTTCAAAATGAAGACTGCATATCCTTCCTACAATTATACAATATTCATATTATACTCTATATAGTCCTATAATATACCTATGATAAAATCATATCACAAAAAGTAAATTTTATTTGCAGTTATTGGTTGTTCTGCATTTTCTTACTCTATCACAATTTGTGTCTAGTTAATGAAAGTTGCTAAATCATTGATACACAATTACATTTATTAAATAGAAGACATATATAATATGACTGGTATTTATAGTTTGTGATCTTATATTTAAAACATCCTCAAACATAAGTGGTTTATTCTCTTGTTAGCTGAATTAGTTGTACTAGTACAAGAAATTTATGCAAACTTAGATATAAAAATCTTGTATGTATACTTTATTTGCTTCAATGTGTATGTATATTTTATGCATTAGTGCAGCCAGTTCAGTTAAAGAAAAGAGACAAAAAACTGATTGAATATTGCCTTACAGATCAATTAGCTATGTTATATTATATAGAAAGTATCATTGATATCAACTCACCAGAATTAATTTTTATGTTGTCTTCACTCTTTCCACAAGCATTTATCCATTTCTCTAATATCACTTTTTCCTTTGGAAATCTAAAGAATGTTATATTTTTTTTGTCGGTGTAAAATGTACGACTTTTGCAATTCTTTATACAACACGATGGCATTGTATCTGTAAACATAACCAAATATGCAGTAGATTACTGTTGACATAGCATTTACAATTGTTTTATTTTAAACATTTGCTTTATTTGTTCAGTTCAGTAATATCCAACTTATAATTATCTTTATAATCCTTATAATTATATATATACACTGATCTTGCGTGCAAACAATAAAAAACACCGAAAAAAATACACTCAACTAAAATACCTCACTTGTTTCAATGTGTCGCCATATTGGTGTTTTAAAGTTTGGGGCAAATTTCTGATTGGTGGCTACTACGCATCCACGGGAATGGTTCACCTTATATTCTTACACCATGGTCGCCTCCGTGTGGGACGGGTGAACTCTGTTTCCAAGCGTCCGTCGAGGAACTTGGCTTTCAGGAGCGGCAGGGCCGTCTCCTTCGGAGTTTGCGAACTCTCTCTCTCTTCCAAGTATCCGTCAAGGATCTTGGCGATTTGACAAGCGACGCGATCGCGTCTTTGAGCACGCTGAGCTCTCGTTTCAAGCGTCCACAGGACATCGGCGTTTCGCCGCAGAAACGACTCAGTCGCTTCTAGTGTGACAGAGCTCAGCACTTTCGTGTGCTTGGCCACAGTTCCTTTTTACCGTGGCATCTTGCTGGCCGTTGAGTCCGAAAGGGCAGGCCTTCCGAAATGACGGTCGTTTCACATTAGCGCTCGTCGATCTATTTCTTACGAGCGTTGCTCGGGTTTCTCGGTTCGGATTTACGACTCGAAAAGGCCGCACGAGATCCGAGTCTACTAGCATCTCTAACTCCGATCCTTCTGATAAGGGTGTTCTGGCATCCTTGCGTCACGGCCGTTCAACCATCTGACGCGACAACATATGCGAACATTATTTGTAAATATTTATAAGATGATTTGGTATAGCCTTCCTTTAAATAGATTGGTACAATATTTTATTTGGTCAATATAATATAATCTAATATTTGAGTATAATATAATTGGGTTTAATATAATATAATATAGAATATAAACTAATATATAAATATTTTTAATGTTAGATTTTTCTAATATCTTCGTTTTACAAATAACTCCTTTTTCCTCATAAAATCATATAATCCTGTTTCTAAAATTTCTCCTATGCATTCCTGGCATTCGCTGCCAGCTCCTCTTTCTTCTAAAACTTGTAAAACAATGAAAGCAATATAATTTTAAATTAGGGTTATAATTTCCTCTATGAATTACAAACGACGATTTCCTAGTTCTTCAAAATTTGGTGGCATATAGGCCATAAAACAAGCAGTGCATAATCTCCTTTTCTGGAGCGCTATTCTGTACACGTCTACCGACAATTGTCGGTGTCGGTAACGCTTCTTACAGACATTTGTCGGTCTGAGCTATTCTGTACAGCTCCTCACCGACGCGCGTCGTTCAAAATGAACAAGTATCGGTCGTAAACGGTAATTCTACCGAGGGGTCCCTTGGCCATCGGTAGCGCTTGACTGACGCACACGGACGAGATTATCGTCGGTTTATGCGATTATGTTAGTGAATTCGCGATTTAAGGTAGTAATACTGCACACATTGCGATTTCACATATTTATAAAATTTTTGTTTAGTTTACTACGCTTCTGTTGGTGTAAAATATAATAATGTGCTGTAAATTGTAACCCAAAAATGTGCAAGTAAGTAAATTTAATTAAAATCTCATAAAATTTAGTCAGTAGCGTTACCCTTCAATTCGTACTGCGGTCTTTACACGGCAGCAGGAAATAAAACATAGTATTAGAATAGTATTCCAGCAAACTACAGTATATAACATATATGCAAATATTACACGAATGTTATGAATATTACATGTAATATTACTTGTGTAGGTAAATGTAACATTTTAGTACGGCTCTATGTCAGCAACTTTGAATATATCATTTATATATCAGGTATATTACAAATAATATATTACTGTAACGGAACATAGACATACATGTTACGTATTTTCTCATATGATGTAATGTAACATAAACGTATATATTACATATTTTTATATGTCATATAATATAACAAACAAGGAAGTGTGTGTTTCCGATTTTGATGAAACTTTGCATATTTGTAGAGTAGCTAAAAATAAGAAACCCATATTTTTTTTATCAACAATGGCTCAGGTTTAAGGGGTGAAACTGCCCCTCAAAGTTTCATAACTCTTTATGCCGTACAATTTTGTTTAAAAAGTTTTTACATATTTGCAATAATTATTGAGATATGCATATAAATGATATGAGATAGCATATAAAGAGGATAGAATTATGAAGGGCAGTTTCATCCCTTAAGCTTGAGCTATTGTCAATAAAAAAATATGATCTTATTATTGGTCTCTTATTATTGGTTACTCTACAAACATGCCAAGTTTCGTCGAAATCGGAACACTTCACGGATGTTTCTTGTAAGTATATATTATATTTGTATAATGCAATATATGTACGTATAAAAATATTAGATTTTCTGCTTATTTATATTTTAATTAAAAATGTTATAAATATTTGTCACATATAAAGGTATCCTTATGTGTAACAAATAATTTTTATAACATATTGAATTAAAATAGAAATAGAGAGAAACATATTTAATTTTTATTTGCGAAGAAACGTACATACATATATATATTACAGTTGGGCAGATATGTATCTTAAAGTATTTAAAAATATTACATTTAAATCTTTCTATTTCATTTATTATAATATTTAAATATATTGTATTAAAATAATTATTATAAAGTAATTATATATAAAATATAAAAAATATAACACATTTATTTATATATATATGTATAATGAAATTAATAACATCGTTACATATGTGTTTACTATAATATATTGCATTCTAACATAAGTCAAGAAGAAGAAGAAAAAATATAACTTTTGCAATATAATTTAAAAAGGCATAATCTACATAAAGACATAATTTAAATAACAAAAAACTGAGATTTTTAACTTTTACGTAACAGTATATGTAAGTAGAAAATGCAGTGAAAGCTACGTCTTTATTTCGTGTGAATCATTATTATCGGCTAATATCTTTTTATTTTCTCGATCGTATTGTAGTTTGCAAAGACGAAACCATTCGCTTGCTGCAGTTTCAAAGTCGCATTCGTCAACACCTTTGGCTCTTAACGCATCTAATAACATATTCAGTAGTAGAGTTAATATTAAAAATAAAATCCTTACTAATTTGGATTAGAAATAAAAATATGCAACTTGTCAAAATAGTTTACCTTTTATGATGCGAATGCATTTCAAATCGCACATGCGATGATTATTCCTACGACCATACCAAGAACAGTCTATACCGAATTCATTTGTAAATAAGCGGCTCATACATCGTTGCACCAAATTTTTAACACTTTTTCTTCCGATTTTTTTCATAAATTCTACCTGAAGGTATACAATTTAATTGTTCATGAACATATTAATAATATTAATACACAATAAAATAAATAATAAATTATATAAATTATATAATTAAATTTACTACTACTTTTATAATACATATTTTTAATAATAAAGTATTATTTAATAATTAACTTACAAAATTGACTTTTGTTTCAACCATTTCCAAGTTTTCCTCAAATCTTTTAAGGTTCTGTATGGAATTTATAGGAAGTATGTCATCGAATATATTCATAGACTCTTCTACGTTAATACCTCTGCAAAACTTTCAGTCTTTTGTCGATACTTTGTACATACTTTAACGTCTCCACACAAATTGGAATCAGTTTTTCTAAAACAGAATAAGTTGAAACAATGTATGAAATAATGTATGAATTTACTTTGATTATATTGCTTTTGATTAGAGTGTAGTAAGTTAAAGTATCATATATTAAAAATATATATAATATATTATTATTAATAATATAAATATATAATGACACAATAATGAGATAAATGTAAAATAAAGTTATTACCAATATCGGTAACCGTAACTAATGGAGAAAGAGTTGAAACAACATTGAAATCTAAAAAGAAAGTTATTATATAAATTGTAGGTATTTTATGTTACATATAAATTTATTCGATAAAAAAATAGCTTCAATAAAAAACAAATTTATTAAATAAAAAAATAGTTATAATAGTATGTCAGCTGATTAATAGTAAGTTTGATCAGAGATTATAGCTGTTTATATCTGCAACCAGCTTGTGTCTTATTGACAGAGCATGTTAATATAATTTTATAGCACATTATTGGTGGATGGAACGACATATTCTACTCAGTTTTTACCGTCAATTTGTCATTATACTCTGTTAGTAAATTTTGTTGTATTTCTACTAATAAGCTGCCAAAACAATTTACAGATACTGCGCAAATTTGCTTGTATAGATTTGGTTATCTTAGTATTAAAGATAATATTATTAACATTAAAAATAAAATAATTTTAAACTCTTACTTTGTACATTTATTTCGTCTGATTCTGTTACTACTGGGTTATTAATATCATTGATCTCACGTGCTTGTAGTAGATTAACTTCCTGTGTTTGCGAATTATCACATAATGAATTTAGCATAGAGCTTTTTTCGATAGCAATTTGTGAATTTTGTTCACATGAAGATTATTTCTCGTACGAGAATTGTTTGCCATACAAACGATTTGGCGTAAAAAGACTTTTTTCGACGACAATTTGTGAATTTTGTTCACATGAAAATTGCTTCTCATGCAAGAATTGTTTGCCATACAAATGGTTTGGCGTAGAAAAGTTTTTTTCGACGACAATACATAGCTGAATCTGCTGTGCTTTATTTATAAAAGTGAAAAAAGACGCGCGATCACTTGAATTATTAACGTAATCATGGTCTCGAGCATTGAATGGCGCAAGTAATATTTCATGATAGTAAGAACAATTGCATGTCTTCACAAGTTTGGAAACAATATAACCGCTTATATAATAGAGAATATTTTCTCCATAATTCGAGAAATTGTTCTCATTAAGAACCTGAAGCATTTCATCAGTAAATTGTACGCTATCATCAACAGTATTTTCATAGAGAATTCTTTTATTTGATCGAAATTCATAAATGGGTATAGAGTCACAAATATCTGATAAACAGTTAGCATTAAAACTTGCAGTCACAACATTTTTATACAAAAGTCGCCGTACAGACCACAGAAATTGCTAAATATCAGGATTATTATTGAAACCACCACGTGAATGAAGACAACAAGAATACAATTCTATGTGGTCTTGAGAAGTTATATGTAAGAAAATATTTTAAAGGTTTCTCTATTTTACTCAATAGATCTATTGCTAGTCCACGAATATTTTTTATATCAATCAAAAATCCAAGGGCAAAAGTGTGCCTTTGATGTTGTAATATTGATTTTCCTTCACATGTTAGATTACGGATGTATATTTCTGATTCATTTAAAACATCATTCCAGTAGTTAAAGTTAGACAAAGAAAGTGGTGCTTTTAATCCTTTGCCATATGAATTCCTACTATTCAACAAGTCGAATAATCTATCAAATATTCGGATAAACTCAGTAGTCGCGTAACTATCCTGAAGTAGTTCACATTTATCGCTTCTTAAATAGTCAATAGCATTAGCGACACTACAACTTATCACTTGCGCTGCTAAAGAAACTTTCATTTTTTTATTGCTATAATCGATATGTATAGAATTCAAACGATTAGCAAATTTGAAACCAATTTCCTCTTGCATCTTGCGTAAATTTCTTACATATTCAAACGCTATCTTTCCACTAGCTAAATATAAATTTTTCTTTGCGAAAACATTTCTACATAATTTTACCATGTGGCATGCATCAAATATTACATATATATTAGAATTATTATATGGGTGTTTAAAATGAGTTGTGAGGTAAAGCAACAGCCTAAATTTATCATTGTAGAAAAGTTAACTTTTGCTCCATCACAGGTAATAGAGCGCACTATAATTCCAGCATCATACAATCTTTTTATTGCCTCAAGAAGTAATTTACTTTGATTGTCACTTGTAATTTTATTTACGAAAAAGTGAGCTACTGGAATCTTAAATTTAGTGTTGTATGAAACAATCTGAAATACTAGAGCTTCTGAAGCAATATCCTGTTTCGTTATATTGTAATTTTAGATTTTTCTCAACAAATCCATAATCTACATATCCTTTTAATATACTATTATTGTGGTCATATATTACACTAGACTTAATGGACATTGAGTCTATTATTAAAGCTACATCTTTTAAATAGTCACAGTCAATACTTTCTTTTTTTAGAAACTGAAAAACGGTATCAAGAAAACCTATTTCGCAAGAAAAATATGCAACATATCTCCGTAATGTTATTTCATGAAGTAGACTTAAGTACTCACGAACAAAATTATATGCTTTTGGAGAGTAAAAATATAGTATAACGTAGATGCAAACATTTTTATTTTATCTGAGTACGTTCTCTCAAACTTTTTATCTTTATTCTTCAATTCATTGTTTAATAAATCCAATTTCAAACCACTAAACTGTGTGAAGAGTATTTCTTCTAACTCATCTGATGAGTTACCTGCATCTTTTAAACGCTGCAACATATCTCTTACATTTGACAGTTTTAAGTTTCTTCGGTATAATCTACATCTCAAAATATTATTCTCACGCTTCAATTTTTCTTCTCGATCACTTAATTTAAATCGTTGTGGAGATATTTGTGTTAATACATTCTAATTAAAATACAATTCAAAAATTAATAAACAGGATACAAAAAAAGGAATAAGAATAAAGTAATTTGACAAATCAATTTACCTTTATATCAGGAGATACTTGTATTTCTTTCTCGTCCTTTTTTTTCTTTTGTAATGGTTCATCTGACAAGAATTTGTCTGTATCTTGTACTTATTATTATGTATAGATATAGTATTTTCATTCATAATGCATGATTTTGCAGTATTTTGGGCTAATATTTTTTTATAATTAGTGATATCTATCAAAATAAGTCGTGGAAAAATATTTGGGATTGCAGTTTCTTTTAATATAAGTTTAATATAAGTTTATTAGCGCTTCGATAATAATCCGATTTATCAAAATAAGTATGGCACACTCGCAAATTTGACTTTACTTCCTTCACAGTCAGTATAACACGCAACCATTCATTTAATATGCTTTCTCCTTTCGGAAATCTACATATAAAATATAAAACTAATAAATCCAACATTTAAATAAATTATCAGAAGTTACGTTTGTTCATAATATTGTATTCATAATATTGTATTGTGTTCATAATATTTCATAATATTGTATTACTTGAAGAATGATATATCTTTGTTTGAAAACCATCTTTCTTAGCAAATACAACAGTATTTTACCATTTTATTTTTTAACTTTCTATTTATAATCTTACAATTTTTATAACTTCTCACTTTTCTTTCACCCTTTCACTTATTACTCTCTTTACTTTAGCGACTAACTTTTTCATTAACTGTACCTCACCATCCCCATTTTTGATGACATTGTGGGTCTGACAAAGATAAGAGAGGAACTAGGGAACCTCTCTCTTTATTCGCATGCGAACAATAGAATCGTACGCTAATGCTCGTTCCAGTTAGTATATATTTCAGTGACTGGTAGTGAATTTTAGGACGCAGCTTATGCTACGTCTATAATGGGGTCGTAAAGTCGTAAAGTCATGAGCTGGGTCCTATGGCGATGCTTGTACAAAGTTCAACTAGTCGCTGGATCGGAGTGTAAACCAATCAGAAAGCAGGATATTGCCCGTACATAATACGAATGATCGATTGTGTTTGTGTGTTATTGAAATAGAAATATAATGGAATTCTGTGTAATTTGTAGTATTTCTTTGTTATTAAATGCTTACCATTTGAATTTAATATCGATATATTTATATCTAAAACGAAAAAGACAAAGAAGATGGTGGATAAGATCTATAAATAGAAGCAGAGATTATTTAGGATATTTCAATAAACAATTCAAAGAGGCATATGAGACAGATCATGAAGAATTTTTTAGTATGACACGAATGACACCTGTCCAATATGATTATTTGTGCCATATTGTCAGACCTTTCCTTAGAAAAAGGAGATATATAAAAAGATATATAAAAAGGAGATATACGAGGGTGGTCCGATAAATACTTAGCCTACAAAAGAAAAACGAAAATTTTGGAAAAGTGGCGATTTATTTCTCAACATAGTCTCCTTTTAGCTCGATACACTTGACCCAGCGATGCTCCAACTTCTTTAACCCGTCTGAAAAATACGTTTTCTCGAGGTCTGCAAAGTAGGCCTTCGTGGCGGCGATGACCTCCTCATTCGACTCAAATTTCTGTCCGGCGAGTGACTTTTTCAAGTTTGGAAACAAAAAGAAGTCGCACGGAGCCAAATCTGGAGAATACGGTGGATGGGGCAGCAGTTCGTAGCCCAATTCGACCAATTTGACCGTGGCGAGGGCGAAGGTGTGAGCCGGTGCGTTG